TCTCTCTCTCTCTCTCTCTCTCTCTCTCTCTCTCTGTTCGTTCTTGTCCGACCCGGTTCCACTAGGACGTTTTTCCTTCATCTTCGTCTTTCCACTGTAATTCCTATGTGTTATTATCTTGGTCGCGGCTTCGTCAGGGGCTCGATTTCACTTTTTCCATCGTTTTCGCGTGTATCCTTCCTTTCCCCCTTTCTTTTTGGTTTCGTTGGATTTAACGTGCTCGTTGGGGTGACCGATCTCTCTCGTATCAGGGGGATGGGATGTAGAATTTCTAGAACGTCTTTGAAGCTGTTGCGTTTTTCTTCTTTTCTTTTTTCTTTTTTTTTTTTCTTCGACATTTTTGAAAGATTTTTGTTTTTACTCTCACGTAGCAAGAGTTCGTTGTTTGTATCATAATAATTAATCGTATTTGCGATTTTATGCGACAAAGATAAGATAATTTCGTTGTGCGTTGTGAATGTCTTATATCTTATATAAAAAAAAAGTAAAGAACGATTAGCAATCATTCAAGATTGATCTTTACGATAATTATACGATATTAAGCATGATTGTACAAAAAAAGTTAACAATATTCCACAGGAAGATAATTAATTTTAATATTATGGTAAGTGAACGTGTTATTGACCATGTGTATTCTGCCTTGATAAGTTTAATATGCAATATAATATGAACGATGAAGGTTTTCAAACGCGAAACAGGAATGGTAAGAAATGATGGAAACCGGACTTTCATAGTCACGATCCGATAGTTAATAATGTGATGAATATTTTAAAAAAAGGCCGAGAACATAGTGGATGTTGAATGTTTTATAATAGTTTCTGAAAAAAGAAAAATAACATTTCATTCTATAATATTTTATTTTATTTTTAATATTGTGTATATATATATATATTTTTTAATAAGATTGATTGAATTACCAATTTCACCGACTTGTAATTAAATTTCAATTGGAATCGTTAATTTCCTGGAGAGAAATATTTCAAACGAAAATAGGACGAAAATTGTTGCATACGAAACATCAAGCTCCAAGTTTGGCGTGTATCGCAAGTTTGGTCACGGGACTTTGGCATAGATTCAAGATGATGGGAACGATCGAGCTTTCAATTGTACCATAATGGGATTTTAAAATAATCCAAATAAACCACTGATTCACCAGACTTTATCCCTTTAATTCTTTCTTCTCCTTCCTCTGAAAATAAACGCGAAAAGAAAACGTTTACTTCTTTACTCTGATTTAACTTAAACTTCGTTTCATTAGAAATGACATTGGAAATGCATATTTTTCTCACCTACGTTATCACCGAAAAAATAAATGGTAGATATTTCGACCAGTTAATAACATTCCCAGGACATCATAGATTTGATTAATATATCAATATTATCTTGCGATCTTTATGCAAGGTCATAGCGCGTGTGTTCCAGCCCGCCCAACGGGTATCTGCTTGCACGAAAATTATCTGATCCACAGCGTGCAGTAACAACGGGGGCGCGACAGATCGGACACGTGACCAGGGCACGGTTT